ATATGTCCTGCAAATTCCATAGAAAGAGTACTATCATTAACATTAATGATAGTATTAGCTATCTTAAGAAATGGCCTACCCAAAATTAGTAGTAGTGGCCCACGACTATCATCTTTACCCATATTTAAAATATAAAAATCAGTAGGAAAGACTAAATCCTTTACCTTGACTAGAATGTCTTCAAGTATGCCATTAGGATAGGCAAGTCTCCTGTCTGCTAATTGCACAATAATCATGGCTAGCTTCATCTCACAACCCTACAAAGAAGAAAATAGAGACTTGGGCATAACATTTATCGTTGCACCAAGATCAAATAAAAGCGTTAGAAAATTCTAAATTTCTTATAATACAAGGTATAGTGAAACTTCCTGAATCTTTGCATTTTAAGGGCATGGGGGGTTGGCACTGCATTCCTCCATGGAATAAAGCTGATACACTTCTTCCTAGATTGACCTTCTCATTAGCTTTAAATCTTCTCTTGTTCGTGCATAGGTCTTTTAAGAACTTTAAATATTTAGGAATTTTCTTTATTGCCTCCAAAAGGAGAATATTGACTTCAACTTTTTTAAAAACATCAAGCATTTCTTTCTCCAATTTAGCTTCCTTTAACTTCTTGCTTTGATTCTCCCTATTTGGAAATGGAAGGATCTTCCTTTGTTCCTTTTCTTTATTAGACTCCTCAAGTGTGACTTGTATTTTATTCTTGATAGATGTTGTGGAGGGCTCTGGAAGCTCCTTTCCACTTTTAAGAGTGATGGCATCAACATTACTACAATTAAGATTTACAACTGTTTAAGACAACAAACTTTTCAGAACCTTGACTCTTCAATTCATCAATAAAGGTGGACAACTGCCTAATTTGATTCTGTAATTTTTAGATTACTGTTTCAATACATTGTTGAAATTGAATGTTATTAGTTGCCATTTGCTTCATTAACTCTTCCAGACTTGGTCCATCATTTTTAGACCCTTGAATAGAAGTAGATTGCCTTACTGCTTGCATAGGTTGTAAATTGACCTGTAACATTATATTGGTGTTGTTGACTTTCTCCATATCTGAAATTAAGGTGATCTCTCCACTCTGGATTATAAGTGTTAGAGAAAGGATTATATTTTTAGCCCTGTTGCATAGGTCTAGTTGAAAAAATTCCAGTACAATTTTTAACTCTGTCATCCAACTGTGGGCATTGATCAGTAGTGTGGTGGCTAAAAAAATAGATGCCACATAAAGGCCCAACTAAAGTAGAAGATGTGGTAGCTTGTTGAGGATTATAAAACTGAGGTTTTGTACACGTCTGTAAAGGATACGCCTATGAAAAAGTAGGCACTGCTGGTGAATTTATTAATTTTGCTGTGTTAAGGCAATTTGCCTAACCATTCTAGAGAGCTGCTCCATCTTATTCTTGAATTTAGGATCATATTGTGGTGTTTGAATCTCATTCACCCCTTTGACTGCTTGGTTAACTCGCGTCCTAAATTGTTGAGAATTTTGTGCCATCTTAGAAATGACATTTATGGTATCAGTTGGAGTAAGTTCTACCAAAGTACCACCAGCTGTAGCATCAACAAACCACCTATCCGTTAGTAAGAGACCTTCATAAAAATGTTGAACTAGTTGCTGATCAGGTATTTGATGGTGAGGGTAGCTAGCATATAATTTCTTAAATCTCTCCTAATATTCATGAAATGTCTCCCCAGTCATATGACGAATCCCACAAATATCTTTTTTAATTTCTACTGTGCAAGAGGCAGGGAGGAATTTTTCCAAGAATAACTGTGTCATTTGATCCCATGAGGTAATGGCATCCTGGTTATAAGTAATATAACCAATCTTTTGCCACTCCATTCAATGAAAAAGGAAAAACTCTCAATTTGATTTGCTCTTTTGAAACTCTTTAAGGCTTCATAGTAGAGCACACAATATAAAATTCCTTCAAGTGCCTGTTCGGGTCCTCTCCTGCAAGACCATGAAATTTAGGTAGCAAATGTACTAAACCAGATTTTAATTCAAAACTAGCATTTGCATCTAAATTAGGATATTGAATGCACAAATTTTGATAGTGCGCATTAGGGGCAGCCAATTCTTTAATTGTCCTATCACCATTATTATTTTCATCCATGTTTTCTAACTTAACTGTAAAGTCAAAGTTAGATTCAGAATCACTAATAATATTATCAATCAATTCAGACAAAATTTTAAAAATCACACTACCCCTAATTTTATGATGGTTTTGATTCTTACTGTTGTTACGACAAGTTCTCTCAATCTCAGAGTTCAAATCAATTAATTTATCTTGCAAAGATCTTGTCATATACTAATGAACCAGAAAAACAATGAAAAAACACCTAAAACTAGTATAAAAAATTAATAAATCTGAAAAAAATAAAAAATAATAGAAAATAAAAAAATAAAAATAATGAGAAAGAAAAAAAAACTAACAACCAAACTCAAAAAGTTAACACTTCTAACTCCTCGGCAACGGTGCCAAAATTTTGACACTATTGTTAAATAGTATCAAAATTAATAAAAATTAGATTTTACAGTAAAGCGCAATCTCGGTCGTCTCCCTAAGAGTCAATAGAGTAACTATTTGAATTATGATTATGAAAAGGTAAATAATGGGGGTTTTTATGATGAAATTTAAACTAAATTAGAATTAAATAAATAGAGGAAATTCAACTAAGAAAATTATCAAGAATAAGCAGCGCAATCAATCACAACCCAATCATCTAAATTTAATCTTCCTCATTTACAAAATAAATTAATTTTATTCAACTTTATTATTGTGATTTTATTATATATTTCTCAAATTATCATTCAAGAATTAAAACAAGAAGTTAAGTTATAAATTAATTGAAATCTCCCTTAATCCACAACCTAACAATTGTTTTGTAGTCACACCAAAAACAAGCATGAGTAATCACTCAAGCCAGGCTAAATTACTCTTAAGTTGCTATATCAATCGATTATAGCAAGTAAAATTTTAAATAAAATTTATAACCCAAAAATTATGCAGTAAAGCTACTTTAATCAGTAATAGCAATTAAAGCATGAAATTTAGAGGTAGAGAGAAGAAGAGTAAATTGAAATAAAGCTAGAATAAAATCTTTCCTGAGCATCAAGGACTCTAATTAAAATTTAGGATCATAGTTTATGATTGATCACACTAAAAAAAAAAACTATCCATAAAACTAAAAGTCAAACAATATGAAATGAGAAATTGACAAACCACCGCTAAAGGAATTGAAAAAAAGATGAACTACTATCGTTGCTACTAGAGAAAGTCCCTTTTTTTCATCATGCCTCTGTCATTCACTCCTTTATATATATATATATAAGGTGACGCGTGCCTCCCTTCTTCAATTCAACTCTATATCATTTTGTGCGTGCCGTCAAAGTCGTCTTGTCATAAAATAAAAACTAATATTTTAATAAAAAATAAATTATCCTAAATAACTTTAATTAAAAACTACACTAAATAACTTAAAATAAATTTAAATAAAATTTTAAAGATTTAATTCTTGGTTTGATCTTCAAACATATTTATATTTTTCTTATTAAAGTATTCTCTATTAATAATCGAAAAAATCTATACAAATAAAATAAAATTAAATAGCACTTGTGCAAAAATATTAAATATATTATTTATATTTTAAAATTAATTTTTAGTTAGTTAAAATCCCAAAACTGAATATTGCCTAATAAAGTCAAATAATATCTAATTAAACTCAATTAGCCTCAAATAAATATTTAAAAGGTCTAAATTAAAAAGATGAAAAATATATAAAATTGCTATTTATCACTTGCATATTTTCTTTATATTGCAAATAATTTTTAAAAATCAATGCTCACTACCTTAAATAACTAGGAAAGAAAGCATAAAAGACATTTCCATTAATAAATAATAACTGAACCACTATGGACATGACAAGATGCAATACACGAATAAACCCTAACATAAAACTTATCACAAACTGAAAGCACAGTGGTTCCAACCCCATGAGGCTCCCACAATATACTATGGGAAAGGGGGAAAAAAGCAAAAGAAAAGAAAACGAGACAATAATATTATTATTGACAGATTTAAAAGTAAAACGCATCTGAATAAGAGTTTTTTGCACAACATAATCAAATATATACCAAGGATCCAATGTTAACTGACTATGTATAGTAGAGTGTTTTAGGGCAAAAATACTTATCAATTTTTTCTCCAAGAGCATCTAGTTCTTTAAGCAAACAAGGGTGCAAAAATATTCATGATTTTGTTTTAATGCATGTAAATTTTCCTGGACCATGAAAAATAGCAAATGCCTGTTAGTTTTTGACCCCTTGCATGATTGTAGGACCAAACCTACAAAGTTAGTGGATATTTGCCATTTTTTATGATCCAGGAAAAATTACACTTGTTAAAACAAATTCATAGATATTTTTATATCCTTGTTCCTTGTTCATTTAAAGATATAAGGTGCATTTGGAAATAAAAAACTTTATGGTTATTCTTGCCGATTAACACCATTGTAGAAGGTTTAATAAAGTGACAACAACTATATATACTCAATTATTAATAGACTGGTAATATTTAATATAGAGAATTATAACATGTATAATTCTCTTTGTTTTATGTTGTCAAAACTAGAAAAGACATGTAGATGCAATGCCAAACATAAAGTTGAAACCAATCTCCATCCCGGCTCCACGCCGCCAACTGCTCCGCCAGACTGAAGGTGAATGCTGTCCAATTCAGCTTCCATGAAAAACCACCTTCCTTTCCTTTCGGTTTAAGAAAGGGTATATCACTGCCTCGGGTATCCTGGTATGGCCAAATCCCAGCACGTGTCTGATCTGGTGCATCGCCGTCGACCTCATGTCCATGTGCAACGCCCAGATCTCGTTGGAGTTCAAATAGACAACCAAGCTCCCCATGGTCTTATCAAACTAGGTGCCACCTACCACTCCTTTCTTCTCATACAATGGCAAGAACACGATTTGAATGTTAGATTCATTCCACAACGACGTCTTCAATAAAGGACAATCCCATCATCCTGGACCACAGGTCAAAGGCGTATGAGAACACAAGTCTTGACAACTTTGTATCATTTTCAGGTGAAAAAGCATAGGTGAACTCTTTCTTCCATTTTGGCAACAATGACTTTTCAAACATCATTCTGCTATTCTCTAGTATAATATCACAAAGGTTGCATCGCGATGCTAAGATCAGCAAACTTGTTTCATAGTCAGGCTGCTCAATGGGAGAGAGATGGAAAGTTGTCTGAAAGAGTTCTAAGGCTGATTGGAGCTCTTGCGTGTAGAGATTGGAGATATCAAAGCCATTATGGTAATTGTAATGATGAAGATAGAGTTTATAATTGGATAAGCCAGGGACATTTTCTCCTATTTTATAACCAAGGAGGGGTGTTGCTCATGTAGTATATGGGGTTCAAATAAAAATTCTCTGCCACAATTGCAGCCTTGAGGACAAGAAACACTACTACAAAAAATAGAATTAACAACGGTAATAACGTCGGTTATATAAAAAATCGATGATAAAAAAAGGTGGTGGCAAGGAAGTAAATAAAAGGAAAACATTCACGTTGGTTTTGTAACTAACCGATGTGAAAACCACTTACCACATCAGTTGGTCCCATAACCGACATGGTATGTTTTATAAAAAAAAAAAAATTTTAAAAAACTTTTCATGTCGGTAAGTGAAACAATACAATTAAAATAAAAAAATTGTCCATGCTTTTTCACGTCGGTTCTACAAAGAATCGACGTGAATAAGTTTTTAACGTTTTTTAACGTCGGCTTTTATTAGACCCGACATTAAAAGCTTCATTCAAAGCTGTTATCTGACAGCTTTTCCTTTAGCCTTTCCTTTTTGCGTTTATGCCTCTAGTACTCATTAGTTTCAACATTTTTCTCTCTAAAATTCAAACGTTGCGCTCTAGAACCAAAGGACGCTCCAATCCCACCATTTTTCACAATCGTCTGCCCGTCGATCCTCTATTTGCTGTCCTTCTCATTAGCATCGCTACTTTCTTCTCCCCCTACAGTCTTCTTCAATGATTTTCTTTGGATACTAGTTGAGATTTCCTCTTCTCCATTTTTTCTTCTTCTTTCTTTTTCCTCTTCCTCATTCATGTTTTCTTGATGTATTTTTGTAACCACTTCTTCCTTGCAACAATGCAGGTTTAGATTTCTTTTTCGCTCTTCCTATTTCATTGTTGGTGTGTTTGGGGGTTCTTGATCCAAGTAAGTTCATAATTTTTTTTAATTTTTCATTTATTTCTAAAATTTATAATAAATAAATGTAGTTTTACATTTAAATTTTTTATCTTTAATTTGTGGTTGGATAACTTGTTTCTTTATAGTTGTTGTTGCATTATTTCTGAAATTTTGTTGTTGTTGTTGCATAAGTAAATGGTTAAGCAGGGTAGAAAAATCATTACATCTCCAATGCTATGATTTTTGCTATCTTAAATTTTCATTTTGATAATTTTTATGGTTGTTGATATTTTGGAATGTCATAATTTTAAGCAAGACTTTGCCAAAAAAATTTTAAAATTTTATGAATAGAAATATAAATATGATAATTGTTGAGTATTGAATTTGTTTTGTGATGTTGAAATTTTGGGATTTTGATTAATATACTTTTATAAAGATAATGAATGAGATTTTGATTATTTTTATTTTTATTCCTTTTGAAGATTTATAAATTGCTTAGAATTACTTAAAATATACTTAAACCATAAGTTGAAATTCGTTATTGTTAAAAATTGTTGAATTATAAATATGACAAATTTTATGTTAATTAATTAGGTAGTTAAATAATGAATTGTAGTTGGATGAATACTAGAAAAACGAGTGAAGAAATTGATAATGGGGTGAAATATTTTTTTAAATTTGCTAAAAGAAATGCTCCTAGTAAAAATAAACTATATTTTTGTCCATGCGTGAAATGTCTAAATGAAAGTCGACTGGGTATTAATGAAATAAGAGAAAATTTATTATGTGATGGGATAAATTTGAAGTATAGGAACTGGATATGTCATGGTGAAACTAAAGGAATGAGTTCAATGTCTCAAGAGAAAGAAATAGATGCGGATGCTTGGGATGATAGAATTCATTGTTGCACTCGAAAAATGCGACGCGAACGGCGTACGAGTGAAGGTTCTGGTCTTCAAAAAGAAGATCGAAGAAATGAGAGTCGCCACCAAAAATTTGAGAAAAATCTCGGGAACCATTTAAAGGTAGATAAGAGTGGTTTGCGAAAATAGAAAATAGGTTCGGGAGTCGATTGAGTGTGGGAAGGTATTAGCCACCCCACAACACCCGTTTGTGAGAACGGTTATCTGAAGTTGTTGTGCTATATTAATATGGTTTTAAAATTATTTTAATTATCCCTTTATATTCATGTGTTTGATACAAAATGATAAGAATTAAGTAAGAAATATTTATTTATTTATTCACGAGGAAGGACTTGATTCAGAATCCGACTTTGAGGCTTACGTACCCTATGACGGGGATCAAAATCTACGTAATTCAGGCTTATAAGTTTGTTGGTGAAAATATTTTTTTTTGAAGAGAAATTAATTAAAAATAATTCACCATTTTGTAAATAAAATAATTTTCTGAAATTTTGATATGTGTGTTTTAAATTGCAAAAACGTGATTTAATTTCAATTATTTTATCAATTTTTTAAATTTTGGAATAAAAAAAGTTAAAGGGTTTAAATTATTATTTTTCATTTTTTTTTTTTACATTTAACTATTATACCTATAGAGCCTTATTAGTTCTTACGATAATACGTTATTCTAAATATTTGTGGAGATTTCAAAATCTCTCACGATAAAAGAGTGATTTAATTTCAATCATTTTTTTAAATTTTGAATTTTGAAATAAGGAATAGAGTTTTAAAATTATTTTTCATGTTGTTATTATTTTTTTTAGAAAATTTAACTGCTATTACCTGCAGAGACTTATTAGCTCATATGATAATATAGTTATTCTAAATATTTATGAAGATTTCAAAAATCTCTCACGATAAAAGAGTGAAATAGTGTAAATATTTTAAGTATATTTTAATGTGTAATTATATAACTTATATTTTTAAATATAAAAACCTTAATCGTTATACTTGCGAAGTCTTATTGACTTTTAAGGTATGATAGTTATTCTAGAGGTTTATAGATATTCAAAAATCTCATATGACCAAAAGATTTAATACATTAATTTAATTAATTAATTTTATTAAAAAACATTTATAATTCTATTTGCAAAAATTATTTATTTATTTACTGTATACAAAGTGATAATCACATCATCTGTGAGGATTTATTATCCCACACGATAATGTACTTAATTTAAATCTCAATAAAGATTCTTGAAATCTCTCATTAGACTTAAACCCATATTATTATATACAAAATTAATCTTCATATTTGTGAAATCTTATTAATTTCACGATATAGGATCATTTTAAATGCCCATGGAGATTCTCAAATCTCACAACAAATAGATAATTAAGATATTTGCATTTGCAATTGGTGTATAATATTATGATTTGCTAAATAATCCATGCAATAAAGGCAATGAAAAGAATAAATTAATTTGATGATTCACTATTCTTTCAACTTGAGGATATATATTCTAAACAAAAATTAGATTTGGTGTAAACTTTTAGCAAGATCATAACTACGATAGACACGGCTCCAAACCATAATCAACCTCACAAATTATCAACAATACTTTCATAGGCTCTTTTTTTATCAAACATCTCTCGGGTAAGTTCTAAATTCTACATAAAAATATTTGATCTCTAAATCTTTAATGTATATCCAAATCAATCCACACTCTCAATATCTATCAAGACACACACACACACACACACACACCCACTCTCTCTCTCTCTCTCTCTCTCTCTCTCAATATCTATCAAGACACACACACACACACACACACACACACACACACCACACACACACACAGAGATGTTCATCAACAATCTCGATTAAGGGAGATGACATGATTTAAATATTACCTGATTTAACTACCAATGACTACATCCTCAAGTTGCAGCAGCATATGATTCTAGTATGGCCTTTATCATTGCTCCTGTGATTAGCACCAAATATTTTTGCTTTCTCTAGCTTTTCATCATCTTTCGCATGGGCCATTACTCCATATGCAGTCAAGATAGCATATCCCAGTATTGCAAACTCTGTATATGGCATAAGTCTAGTAATACTATCAATGTATTTGCTGGCACAATGCAGTATTCAACAAGCCTTCCCATATAATACATGTAGACCGATTTTCCAATAAATGAGAACAGTAGAACAGCTGCTGCAAGGCATATTGAGGGAACTAACAACTCGAGCTTCAACCAAAAGCTTTTATTTCGTTTTATCATCTGTGAATAATCCGCCCCTACTTTGTGCTCTCGCTTTTTCGTTCTTCCAGTCTAAGTAAAAATACCTCATCTCCCCTCTCTTATTCCCCATCTCTGCTTTCTTGTTCTCTATTTCTTCTGCTCCTTCTTCATCATTTTCATATGGTCCTTTTCGCCCTTCTCAATTCTCTACCGTCTCTTCATGCATGTCTCTCTCTCTTTTTTTCTATCTCGATGCTCTATTTTTTTACTTTGTTGTTTTGGTTTTCTACTTCGTTTTCTCATCCAGCTACATGCTCTACTTTTTTTCTTTCTGATTTTCTGCATCTTCTCTTTTCTCGTCGCTATTTCTCCATTTTCATGCTCTCTTTCATTCAGCTTCTCTTCTCCGTGCTCTCTTACTCTCCCCTCTCTATCTCTCTCTAACTTGTCCTCTCTCTGTACTCTTCCTTTGCTCGCTCTGTCTCCCTTTTTCCTTTTATTTGTGCTCTGCTTTTGCTCGGTCTTTTGGATTCATTCCCCTTTCTCGTCTATGCTTGCATTTTTTAAGGGAAGCCCCATGCATGCATACACGTGTGTCTCTTTTTTGCTCTTTCGCTCGCTTGTCTACCTTCATTTCCATCTGCTATCTCCTCTGTGATCACAGCTTGCTTTCAGGGCCTTCTCTGCATTCTCCTTTCTTGCCTTCTGCTATGCGTGTGTTTCTAGTTCTCTTTTCTACCTTTTCTGCATTTTTGGCTCTCTTTTCTTCCTGTTTCATGTGTGCTGTTTCTACTCCTTTTTCTTTGCGTGTGTCTGGCAGTATGCTTCTTTTCTCATTTCCTCTCTCCAGCTGATGCAACATGCACGTTCAGCTCTTCTTTTTTTTTTAGCTAAAACTAGAATATTTTCTCTCTCTTTTTTTAAAACAACAAGATTTAAGGAAAAAAGATAAAAAAATTAATTAACTCTCAAAAGTTAACTCTCCAATATTTTTGAATGATTGAGATAATTTGGAGAGAGATTTTAAACAATTTAAATAAATTTTTTTTATTTGTTAAAATTTAATCCTAAAAATGATTAAATTTCATTTTTTTCATTTTTTATTTTTTTGATTATTTTAATGAACTAAAAGAAATAAAATCCTAACCAAAAAAGATTATCTAGGCTAAAATAAAATTAAACCCTATTAATTATTTTTTTAAAAAATATAATCCTAAAAAGGATTAAATTTCATTTTTTATTTTTATATATATATTTTTATTTATTATTAATTTTATTAA